AGTGGGAAATTTGGGGCTGGGACCAGGCACAAGTGAAAGATTTGGGGCTGGGACCAGAGACAAGTGAAAGATTTGAGGCTGGGACAAGGTAGAGTGGACAATTTGGGGCTGGGACCAGAGACAAGTGAAAGATTTAGGGACAGGACCAGGGAGAGGTCGGAAATTTGGGGCTGGGACCAGGGATAAGTGAAAGATTTGGGGCTGGGGCCAGGGAGACAGGGAAGATTTGGGGCTGGGACAGGAAGGCTGCACTGAGTTCAGCAAGTGTCTGCAGGGGTTGGTTCTTCCAAGCTGTGGGATTTTTGGACCACCAAGCTGGACTGGAGTCAAGTGGAGCACGGGAAAGAGTTAAACTTGTGTTGTCTGGAAAAGAGCCGGGAGGATGGGGCAGGTGCTGGCTATAAATACCTGTACCTGCCTCGGAGGTGGCAGAGCTAATGAAGGGAGGGAATTGTGAGCAGCCCCTCCGAGGAGGGGGGGGGCAGAAGAGGAGGGGGGGCCAGTAGCTGCAGTGGCTCCTTGGGCCCTGGGGAGGGAGGGATAGGGTTTTTAGGGACATGGTTTTTAGGCTAGGCAGGGCTTTAAGGAGAGCCCTCTTAGAGGTGACTGTGCCTGAGTGCTGGCGCTGGTCTCTACAGGGTGGGACAGTTTTATGCTGGTATGCTCAGTTCACCCCCTGAGCCCAGCCCAGCCACAGGCCCTGGGATCATTTTCACAATCCTGGAATGATCCTGGGATCGTTTTCACAATCCTGGAATGATCCTGGGATCATTTTCACGTGAGCATCAGGTACAAAGTGAAGCATCTTCCTTTGGTGGATGTGATACCCTGGGGTAGCGGGTGGTCCCTCTTTGAGCATCCTGGGCTCTGGAGGGATGCTTGAGGATCCAGAGGGATGCTCCAGGCTCCCTGCCTGTGCCTGGCAGTATCTCGGGGGACTCAAGCACCCTCTGCTTGCCTCCCAGAGCCCCTGGCTTGGGTGCAGGATGCTGTTTTTGGGAAGGAGGTGACCCCACCCCTCCAATCCCAAGACCTGCCATGGTGACATCATCTCTCGGGACCGGAGCAAAGAAGACACCTGGGAAATAAGGGATGGTGAAGAGGGAAGGCAAGGGATAATGGGAAGGGAGCAAGGAAGGGAGCAAAGTGTGGGGAGAAAGGAAGGTCTGAGCCTTGCCGAGGTTTATTAAAGTTTAAGAGAACAGAAACCCTGGTTTGCGTGGAGGGGACCGGCTATTTTTAGCGGTGGGTAGGATGTCAGCTCTGAAAATAGCCTGCTACCAGATCCTAATGAAATCCTCTCTTTGGCTCTCACCCGGAGCGAGTTTGGAGGGGGAGGATCGCAGTCACACCCGCAGCCGAGGAGCTCCTGACATTCACAATGACTCGCCTGGTTTTTTCTTATTTATTTATTTAATTATTTTTTTTTCCTTCCCCCTCCGGTTTCTCCTATTCTTCGCCGGCTCTGCCTTACGCCGAGCAGAGGAGTCACCAGCCAAAAAAGTGAATGCGGGGGTGGCGCTGCTTAGCTACGGCCAAATCCCAGCAGCATGTGACCAGATTGGCAATTTAACACGGAGCCCTTCTCCCCGGCACACGCGCGCTCGAGTTAAAGTGACATTGAAAGGGGGACTCGAAGTGCTGGAGGCAAAGAAATTGGGGGGAGCTGCCTCCCCCCATCCCACCCCACCCCACCCCTTCCCTGCCTGGGGAGACAGGTTTGTGTCGTGGGGCTTGGTGGGGACTGGGAAAGGTGGTAAGCAGGTGAGGGAGGATGCTCAGGGCAGGTAGGTGGGCTTGGAAGGGAGCAAGAGGTGGGAGAGCTGGTGGAGCAGATGGTCTGCAGAGAGCTGAGCACCCCCGGGCATCAGCAGGAGAGATCCCAGGTGTACATGGGATACCTGGAGCACGTGGGATACCTGGTGCATGTGGTGGAGCCCAGTCCAAGACTGCTGAGAAGCCTGAAGAAGACCTGGAACAGTGGCCGGTGACTGCTCCCAGGAAAGATCAGGGACCACCCAAGGAGCATCACAGGGATCACAGGGCAGAGAATCCAGGGAAAGAGAAGGCCCTGAAGGCTTGAGGGCAGAAGAGACACTCATGGGAGCATCACATCCTCATCAAAGAAGGGATGAAGGTGTCACACAGGCACAGGTTGGGTGAGGAACACGTCTTGTAGATGCAGGGTGAGACTTGGCCAAAGGACCAGTGCTCTGAGGGCTTTTTTGGCACATTCAGGGTCTGGAAGGTGCAAATCCTTTGTCACTTGATCCCCCAATGGGTGTAGCAGTGGGTTTTGGGTGGGGAAATACACATCACCCCCCCCATGGCACCCCAGCCAGGCCAAAGACAGCCCAATCCTGATGGGAATGAGAAGCCTTCACCTCCATGCCCTTCATCTGCGAGGGATCCAGCTGCAGAGCTCTACCACAGGCACCTTCCAGGGAGCTGGAAAATGGAGTTAACCATTTTCCCATTTTCCAGTGAGGACACGCCTGTATTGACCATCCCCTGGTGTCTCTGTGACTGATGCACCATCTCTTCACCCGCCCTGCACAGGCTCCTCAGAAGCTCAGGGTTGGGGTCTCGCCTTTGGAGTCACATCTTTGCTCTGGTTTCTGTGCTGGGAGGGGGATGTGGCTTTGGGCAGGGGACAAACATGCTTTCTGTGGAAGTGCAGGGAGCCCATCAGTCACGGAATCTCAGAGTGGTTTGGGTTGGAAGGTAATTAAAGATCCTCTAGTTTCAACCCCCTGCAGGGACACCTTCCACTAGCCCAGGCTGCTCCAAGCCCTGTCCAACCTGGCCTTGGACACTTCCAGGGATGGGGCAGCCACAGCTTCTCTGGGCAACCTGTGCCAGGGCCTCCCCACCCTCATGGTGAAGAAGGTGTCCCAGGCTGGGACACCCCAGTGCTTGGCTCTCACTGTACACAAAGGGACATGGAGAGGGAAAAAATCCCAGCTGCCATTCTGTGCCCCTCGGGATGGGTTGAGGTGCCGGGTACCTGCTCACCCTGGGCACTGGATGTTGCCCCCCGAGGCAGCTCCTCCTGCCTGGGCACGGAGCCGGATCCATCTGCATCAATGAGTCAGCAGGACCCACTTAACACCTCCCCAGCAGGATCTGCTCCTCTCTCCCGACAGAATGGGCAGCTCTGGCAGGCTCTGGCAGCCTGTTACGATCTCAGCTCATTAAGGGACGCATCCTGAGCGCTTTATTGATGTTTTATGCTGCCTGGCTCCATCTTCAGAGGGAAACTCTCATTGCAGTCAATGGCTACACCTCCGGGCGCTGCGGGCTGAGCTCGGAGCTCCGGATTCGGCTCCCGGAGAGGCCGGCTCAGCTCCGGCGGCTGTGGAGCTGCATCCCTGCAAACCATGGGGTTTGACTCCAAAGCGGCCAAGAAACGTCTCAGGGCCAGGATCCCGGCAGGGCGTTTTCTTTCCAGGGACTAGGGAATGTTCAGAAGGAAAACACAAGGAAGGGGTTGGGTTTTTTTCCTTACTTAACTCTCTTTCTGCGCAAAGGAGCTGCATGACAGGGAAGGGAAATGATGCTTCCTCTCCCCCGGCGCTGCCGTCTGTTCAGCCGGAGCCCGGTGGGGTGGGTGTACCTGGGCTCCTCCTCCTCCCCGCAGCATGTTGGGAGCCACATGTCCCCCACTTCGGGAACATCACAGTCCTTTGATAAGTTCCCCGGCGCTTGCTGCTGCTTCTAAAAAGCTCGTGGCACTGTCTGGCTTCAAGTGGCTTTTACATAATCCAGACTGTCAGGCTAGATGAGCATCACAGTCCCTTCTGGCCCTAAAATCTGTGAATCTCCGAATTAGAGGGCACCAGCACCTCCTTGTTTCTGGCTGATTGAATCAGGGGAATTGCGTGTTCTCTTTCTCCTCTCCCCTTTTTTCTCTCCCTCCCCTGCATCGTCTTTAACTGGAGGTGAATTACCCTCCCCCTGAGCCCAAGCTTGGCAAATAGCATCAGGACAGATCAGACATCCTGAGCCTTGCTCTGGGATATCCTCCTCTCCACTGCCCACTCCCAGGCCGGCTGTGGGCACAGGCAGGGCTGGAGGTGGTGTGGAAAATGGTGCTGAGCAATCCCGGTTGTTTTAAAATCACAACTAAGTTCTCCAGGTTCCAAATTGAGCTCGCTTGGATTTGTGAGCAAGGTGTGAATCTAAAGAAACACTTTTTGGGAAGAAGAACGAAAGCGAGTGACCCTCCATGATTTTTGGGTTGTTTGGGATGTGCAGGGGGAGTGGAAGGAGAAAAGTGGGGAGGAATTGCTGGTGACCTGTGGGGGTTGCTGGGGATGGGAGTTTCCCAAATACAGGGATCTGCAACAGGAGCTGGGAAGCTGCTGAGCAGGCTCAGCTGGAGTTGGGAACTCCAGGATGTGCTGCTGCCATCTCGATGCCGGTGTGTCCCAGGCAGGAGATGCTCTGACAGCCTCACATATAAGTGGGACACCCAGGACCTGCTTCTCCCCATCCCTTTGGGCAGGACCCCAGGGGGCATTCAAGGGGTTAGAGGTGGCAGATTCCAATTGGGATGAGCAGTGAAACCAATCCAAAAGGTGACCTGAGAGGAGCTGGGATAGCTGCAGGTAGAGGCTGAGGAGGAGCAGAGGCAGCAGAGTGTGGGGCCGAGGGAGGGCTGTTCAGCCCCCCGCTCCCACACACCCTGCACAGGGAGAGAGCACCAGAAACCTGCACGAGTCTCACACCTTCCTCTGCTACAGCTCAGCAGGGGAGAACCACATCCCTCTCCCGACAGCCAATCCCCCTCCGAACCCTGCCAGGTGCTCAGCCCCAGACCCTTCCTTTGGGAGCGAAGTTTCCTGCTTTGCAAACGCCCTCGGGTTCCCAGCCCTCCTCTCGAGCGCTGCTGCGGTCAATAACTCACCAGGAGGCTGCAATTCTCCCTCCGCTTCCCACCCTCCCACTCCTCCCGGGAGCTCCGCATTCATGCCTTTTTGGCCCTCCCTCGGCAGCCAGCGAGGAATAAAGCGGCGCTGGCTGAGCACGACGCGGGCTGCGCTGGGATGCTGGGAGCCAGCGAGGGAAGCCTGAATCACCGGCACCTCAAGGTGGGAGTGAGAGATTTGGGCTGGGAGAAAGGGACGGCATCACACGTGCTCCCCCCAGGAGTCAGGTGCTCCCAGCCAGCTGGCAGTCGCTGGGAATTGGGCAGCTCGGATCCTTTCTGTGCCTTTAAAGACGGAGCTGAGAGCGATGGGGATAAGAGGAGGGGCCGGTGGGAGCGCGGAGGGATGCAGCCTGAAGGCTCTGAGCTGGAGCCGAGGCTGAGGGATGCTGTCAGGGACTGGTTCCTCTTGGAGAAACTCCTGGAGGAGCATCCCTAGTGGGATCCCATGGAGATGGAGAAACCCTCAGCCCAGAAATGACTAAAAATTAATCTGTAAAAGCTCAGCCGGTCACTATGTGGGACAGTGGAGTCACTGGCCCCAGATGGGGAGGATTCCAGTGCTTCTGCTGGCATCAGCTGGGAGGGAGCCCCTGAGGTCCGTGGGATCACCCTGGTTTGTCCCCATCTGTTAGAGCCACAAGCGGCAGAGCTGGATTTGTCATCCTTGTTGCAGGTCCTTCTCTTTCCCTCATTCCCCATCCTGCTCCCACACCCCCAGATCCCGGGGACCTGCCCACCCCAGGGGTCCCGTGCTGCTGGGGACCTGCCTGGGGGCTCAGTGGCTTCAGCTTTGTGCCTTGGAGCAGGTCCTAAGCCCTCTCTGAGCTGGGGTGTTGCTTTGCTCATCCAGTGAATGCTCCCAGGAAGGATGGGTGACCACCCTGGAAGCACTGAGAGGAACGAAGGGAGGGTGGGGGCTCTGGTGGGGCCCATGGGTGATGTCCAGTGTCATCAAGGTGACCCTGTGTATTTGGGACTGGCAAACCAGGTCCAATTTACTTACACATGGGGTTGAGGGGTGTCACAAGGATCCCTGATGCTCCTGAGCCGGGAAAGCAGCAAAGGAGGGAGCATGCAGGGACCCAGGAAAACCTCTGGGGTGGAAGATCCAGGTCCTGCTTGGACCTGGAGTCCAAGCTTTTTGTTTCTGGGACAGTGAGATGTTTATGTGCTGGTTCTGTGGGTTTCAGTACGGAAAACCCCCTTTCCAACCTCTCTGCCCCGAGTACGGGAGCTAATTCAGGTGTTGGTTTGGACTTTTGGGAAATACTGGGAACAGCACCCGGGCACTCTCTGGTGCCTCCTGGGAAGAGGTGAGCCGGGAGAAGGTTGGACTTGATGACCTTAGAGGTCTTTTCCAACCTTTTTGATGATTCTGTGAGGTGACTGCCCCCGTTTCACAGCGATTTATGGATCAAGCCCAAGGTGACAGATCCCGGGAGAGTCGCTCCCGGCCCTTTGCAGCCTTCCCGCGGTGTCACACTGACCCCAACACATCGCGACCGTACCCGTGATGCTGATGCGTGTCCCCAAGGGGAATGCCCTGCTGGGGGGCTGTCCCGGTGGGCACGGGGGGGGACACCGGGCCGGGAGGTGGCGGGGACATCCCACTGGGGGCAGGAGGGGGATGCGGAACCCGGGGCAGACGGAAACGTTTAGGTAGCGGGTGTTCGTGCCGCGGCGGGGCTGGGCGGCAGCGGCGCCTGGGGAGCGCTGCGGGGCTCTGCGGGGCCGCTAATGGGCCGAGTCCATTTCAGCGGGATGACGCCACCTGGGTAAAGCGTTAAGAGCTCCGGGAAGGCAGCGCAGAGCGAGGGGGAGCGCGATGCTCCCGGGCAGCTCCAGGTCCCTCCCTCCTCCCTCCATCCCTCCTCCTCCTCCTCCTCCTCCTCCTCCTCCTTCTCCTCCTCCTCCTCCC